CTTGGAATTTCTGGCCGCCTGCTTGCGAGCCTTGTAGTACGCCTCCTCCTCCCTCCGCAGTTCCTCTTCCTGTTGCACTAACTAGTTAGGGTGAGGAGGAAATTGTGGATGTGGAAGGGAGAAGGATGTGATTGCTGCTGGTGATCTTGTGCATGTGCGAAAAACAGAACATATTTATTGTGATAGTATCAACAAAATTCATTATTGTTACATGTGCGCAGTCCTTTTTGCATTGCTAATATTAATATAATTCATAGAAATGTGTCAATTATTATTATAAATGAGGGATGAGACCGGCTGTAGATGATTGAATATTAAAAAATAAGCATGCAAATTAGTGTAAACGAAAGTAACAACGATAAAAAACGTAAAAATGACAACAAAATGAAAAAATCATAAAAAAATGAAAAAAAAGAAACGAAACATAATTGGGACCTGTTCATTGAGCTGTTGGTCAACCAACTGCTGTTCCTTCAGTAACTCATCATACTGATGATTACTTAACAAGGATTTCTCTTTTTCTGTCACTAACGTTCTACCGCTACCAAGTTTCAACATGAAATTAATAGATCAAAAAATAAATTATTCATTGGAAACATAAAATTAATAAAAAAAATATTCTTATCACTCAGACCAATAAAAAAAAACTGCTTGCCTGGGAACAAAAATATCAACTGAACACCTTACAGCTCAATAAATAAACGAAATTCACTAAACATGAGTTTAGAGCTGTGCTATAAAAACCAAACAAATGTTTGAACAAAACCATGAAAAAGAATTAACGCCATGAGCAAAGGTAAATAAGTTCCGAAGAAAACATTAAACAAGACTGATGATGATTGAAATTGAAATGTGACCGACCCATTTCATGTATGAGGAAACTGTGAATGGCCTGTTCAATTCCATTTGACTTCTAGACAAATTTTTGTAGAAACATCAGCATGATGTTATGCCAGAAAGATGATGATGATGACACCGCCATTACATTAAACAGTTTGCAAACAATACAAGTACCATCACAAACTCGCAGGTGACGCGGAAAACAGCACATACAAAATAAACACAATTTGAATGGTGCAGTAAATCAATCACATCACATACAAACAAAATTATTAATAAATTATATCAAACAAATTTTAAGTAAAACTTTTCAGTTTTTAACAAAATGTCATTAAACTGGCGAAATATAGTTAGGCAGAAAGGCAAGTCATTTCTGATCTTTTGTAAGATATGGAAGAGAATTGTTTAACACTTCATATGGTACAAAGGATGCATGCTTTATATAATCCTGCTCAATTCTTTACTGACGATTTCTAACCACTTGATCAAGTGACTTTCAAATGATCAATCACTTTAGAATTGGAAAAACTTTTTTGAATAGATTTATTAATTCCGTTTTGTCTCATCTCTATAGCATCACAAAGAAATCAACCATTTATTTAACAATTCATTAATCTCTGATTTATATTTTCAATCAACATAATAATACTAAAAAATAAATCATTCAAAAATATATTGAAAGATTTCAATCGGGAATGAATAAATACTTTGATTGTTCATTTTCCTGGCTTTCCTGTGAACAAATTTAATTTTAATCATTTTTTTTTTGTTAATTATTTCAAATAGATTAACGAAAAAAAAATTTAAAACATGGAAAATCTTCTGCTCACTTCATCCATGAGATTTTCAAACTGTAGGTAATTATAAAATTTACTTATTTAATTAATTAATTAATTAATTAATCAATTAATTATGAAACAAAAAAAACTTTACAATGATAACAATAACACTCAAGTTATAAAACATTTTACAAGAATCATGAAGGACCAAAATTAATTTTGTGGAAAAAAAACAAGGTCTTTTCATTTAAAATCTCAACTTAGAAAGGAATCTTCAATTCAATAAATCTCTGCTATCATTATATTGGTGCCAAGACAAAAAAAAAAAAAACAAAAATTTTTGTATTTTAATAAGCTATTTAATATGGTATGGTATGGTATGGTATGGAGAATTTATATAGCGCCCCTCTATGTAAAACTCAGAGGCGCTGTTCGAGAATAACAGCAACAATAATTTTATTGCTAATGAGAGTATTTGTGTACAAGTTTCATTAAAGCAGAAGGGTTATATAATTTAAATTTAATCATACCATCGTAATTTAGCTTCAAAACAGGTCTAAAGTGTAGGTATGCTAAAAAAATTAGTTCAAAACAAATCAGTGCAGTCAGTGTAGGTTTAGCTCCTTTGCAAATTACTTTCATTATTTTCTCAAATCTTTATTTTTCTGACTGCCAATCCAGGTGTGTTTGCAGGTTGATCAAATTTTTCTCACCTCATTGAATTATGACATCTGGGTAGATTTATATTTGGGTGGATCTTCAGCCTCCATCTTTAGAGTTATACATCTCTACACCAATTTCTCATTTTATTTATTCGTAAAATTTATTTTTGTTAAATTTAATGAAAAAAAGTTAAATGAAACTCTCTTTTCTCTTATTTTTAAGCCATCATAACTTTTTCATTCTAAACACATTTTTTGAACACTATACTGCTTGTAACCTGCTAATTAGCTAATCTGTAATTGTGATCACAAATTTTTCCTGACACTTCAAATTTATAGCATACAACCTTGTAGGATAAAGCTTTCATTTTCCTATTTAAAATGTATTCCTTGCATACCAAGATCATACCAGTTACATAAACTATTATTAAAATTATAAAATCTCTTTAATAATATCTATACATTAAAATTATAATTTAAAAAATGTAAATACATAAAAATAATAATAAAATTTGACAATTTTATTTACTAGAAATTCAAATTTGTTTATTAAATTAATCTTGTAATGATAAATAAATGTATTATAATGTTAAAAATGAATTTTATATTAAATTATTGTATGATAAACTGGTAACATACTTCAATGGATATGTCTCTTTCAACATTGTATCTGGTTCTTAAATATCGTCTGGTTATGTAATTTAAAAAATCCAGGTCATTATATAACATTTGAATTCATGTGTTGTACATCACCATTAGTTAACTTTACAATGTAAACTTTACATATATAAATATAATATAACACACATACAATGAAATTTTTCATAATAAGGCATAAATTTAAAAAAAAAGTGGATGGATTGATCACTGTAGCCCAAACTCTTATCTAATCTAATAAAATAAAAATAACACCTACTTTTATTAAATTTAAAAAAACTAAAAAACTAAGTCAACTTATTTTTGAAAAAATTGAAAAAAAACTTACTCTACCTCTAACAAAGTTTAACTTTGTTTAAATTTCAAAAAACATTAAAAAATAAAATGCTTATAAAAAAAAACTTACAATGTAATGCAAAATCCTAACTGTAACTTTAACTTAACCAAAGAAATAAAGAACTCTCTAGTCTAGATCCTTTAAAAGTTTCCATCACTACTAAACACTACCGTCAGTTACACAGTTACCACAGTTGCAGTACAGTACTACAACAGTTACAGTACAAAATACAACACACTAACAACCAACCTCTTATCAAACCTGCCAAGACATCTTTCACAACAATTTCCCATATTTCGTTGAAAAACAAAACCAACCTAATAAAATAACCGTTATTAATATAATATAATATTATAAGTGATTTGCACGACACACCATGACTGTTAATATAAAATAAATAATTATTTGAAAAAATATTAAAGAAAATTATAGCTCATACAAATGTAAACAAAAAAACGTGAACTTAAATATAAGAAGGAATGTTATATATTCAATAAAATAAGGTACCTCTAATTTTTCTTCCTGTCATCAGACTTATGAAATGACAACAGTCTCCATAACATTTTAAATTGAAAATAGTTTTTTCTTCTTTTCATAATTTTACACTTTGAAGATGCTACACATTCATTATAGATAGATTACAAACGTCAGGTTCTACATATAGATTATATTTATATAGAACCTAAAATAATGAAGATAAAAATCATATACTTGAAATATATAAATATCTTGTAAGCGTTTGTGATGATATGCCATATATATATATATCCATGTATGCCACCTGAATTTGCAGAGAATCAGTTCGAGGCAGACATAAAAATATTAAACACAAGATCGATAGAAACAACTCGAAAAATTGCTAGTTTATTTGAAAAGTTCTAAAACAATCGTGACTTAAAAATGGAGCTTTCATGTACTTCACCCATTCTTTTTCGTACGCATATCCTCTGTCACCTTAATGCAATGACTTGTGGCGAGTTTTGTTCAGGCGTTTAGCAGCGAATAATTATATACGAAAAGGCGTTCCAGGTGTCGTAAACAACCGACCGAAAATGAGGCAGCATAAAATTTGCTCCCTTTGAATGGTATCTTCTCTATAGCATCAATTAAATTCTTCCTATATGGTCACCAGACCGACGCAGCAAATTCTAGATGACTTGTATAACAGCCCAAAAGTGTCTTTTGTCCATTTGTTGGAAGTTCCTTTTTCAGACGCCCGGCATTCTATAGCCTTCAACTTTTAGCATAATGGGCTCTGCGGAAGTTAACTTTTACTCCAATGTCTTTCAAACAATTCTCACGAGGTAATTCATCTCCGATTGAAAATAATAGCATTAGCTGATTTTGCCAGAGCAACTACCAAGCAAAACTATTAAATTTCATGATTCGAACGTTTATTTAAATGTTTAATTTCCTAAAATAAATAATGCAAAAGAGAACAATTGAAACTTTTCAAAACATTTTCCTCTACGACACATATTTCAACGCACGGTCCCTCCCGATCATTAACAGACTTGAGAAATAACCAAGAAATAATCACTTACCATCAAGTGTCTGAACTCTAAATAAAATAATCATAAACGAAGTAGTGAAATAACTGAAAAAAGACTACATAATGAAAATAATGATTAATTCATGTCTAGTCGAATCCATTTTTAGAGTTTGACAGGCCAAGTCGTAAATTATGTCAAAAAAATCAAATACATTAACAGGTGCATTGGATATTGCCGACACAATTCTCAACACTTAACATGCCAAAATCAGTAACCACTAAACTCATTCGAAATAAAACGTTTGACAAAAAGTGGAATACAGATACAAAATAAACTTAATCGGTAATCATATTTATTTAGCAACGTAATTTGATAGTAAACATCCGAATATTTTGAAATGAGTTCCAATTACAATAAAATGTCAATTCTCAAATCTCATTACAATTTATCGAAGAAGTTGTCCAGAGGAGGAACACCTTCTTTCAGACCCTTGCGTTTCCTTGTTTCCGTGACAACAGCATATGGTTTGCTTGAGGGTTCAAATGGATCCCCATTCAAGATTTGCCAATGGTCAAATACACATTGTGGGAAAGCTTGGCCACCAGTGTTCGAACGCAAGTCAGCTGTAAAACCTGTTGACAGATAAAAAATTCAAAGACATCAAAATAATTTTTTTATTAAATCAAAAACACAAAATAAACTATAAATAAAATGAAGTAAACAAAACAAATAAAAAATTAAATATACTCACCAAATGATTCGTTGACAGGCAAATAAGCCTTAACTACGAACATAGGGGTGCCGATGACACGATTTTCTTCGAACACATGACCACGTCTTCTGTTCAACACTCCATAAATTCCACCCACTGCTGCCTCAGGAGACTATAATTTAAGTCAAAATTTCAAAAAATGTAAAAAACTGGAAAAACGTAATTTAAAATAAGTTTACCATATAACTATAAAAATTCTAACTAGAAACCTGAATTTCAACAAGGTAGACGGGTTCGAGGAGACGAGGAGCGGCAGTAAGGACGCTGGCATAAAAGCATCTTCTGGCTGTGGGGATGATTTGACCACCTCCACGATGGATAGCATCAGCATGCAGGGTGACATCATAAATGTTAAACCTGACTCCTCTCATGTTCTCTTCACACAAGACACCCTAACAAGTAAGAGGTAATGCAATTTTTACTTATCTATCACTGCTTTTGCTGAATTTTTGCCAATAACTTGAACACCGATACAACTCATTGTCCAGTAACTTGCAATTTATTACAAAAGACATAACAGAGAATAAATAATACAGACCTCTTTTGAGGCCCACTGGAATCCAGCCACAACGCTGTCTTTTATTTCATTAAGGTATTGCACTCCTTTTGTGCAGTCCATGACCAAATTGGGTCCATTTGTTTCTGGTCCAAAACACCATATTTTACGAGCCTCTGTTACATCATAATCATACTTCTCTGCTAGATATCTGGCACGTTCCTTTACTTCTTGTCTTGGGTGCACTTCTCCCTTTAATGAAAAATAAATGATATATATTAAACTACATCTAATCTTAAAAATTTTAACTATGTTAGTTAATGAACAATATTTAACCTTGTCAATATCATCAGACAAGCCATCTGGCATAGGTACTGCTTTCATGTACAACCTGTTGTGCTTGTTAGGGGACTTGGACAAACACATTCTATCTGATTCTTCGCTAACAGTTTCCCTGTATGAAACAACAGGTTCAGACACCTGTCAAGCAAATAATTTATCTTCAGTTTTCCAGAAAACTATGCAAAACAAATGTAGACTTAGAATGGTTTTAAATAAATTAAATGTTAACCTTAATGGGCACACAAGCATGGTCTTCCTCCAAATCTTTCAAGCAGATTTCCAGATGCAACTCTCCAGCACCAGCAATGATGTGCTCACCTGACTCTTCGATTGAAATCTGTGGTGAATTATGAATTAATCTAATTTTGAATACCTTAACTATTTATATTATTTGTTCTTAATAAACATTTATTTCATATATAATTTTTATACCATGTTTTTATTAAATACAAATCTGATGAAAATAAGTTCTATAATTTATTTACAATATTTAAATTCTAGTTCCCCTTTCGAATTCTTTTTCTACCAATAACAAAAAAAATTGTAATAGCAAAAACATTTCATAATTTAAAACCAGAGCAATCACACTTGCATATTACTAAATTGTTTGAGCAGGTTATGCCTTCAAGCACATAAGCTGCATTCACTGTAGCAAATGTAGAATTAACAGTTGAATTGTTTTTAATTAAGAAACAAACATACTTGCACAAGTGGATCAGATTTTGAAAGACGTTTGAGACCTTCAACCAATTTTGGCAGATCAGCAGGGTTTTTGCATTCAACAGCCACACGCACAACAGGACTGACACTGAATTTCATGACACGTAAGTTGTGGGCATTCTCAAAAGTAGTAATGGTTCCTGTTTTCACCAAGAACTGATCAACACCAACAAGACCACAGACATTTCCACATGGCACATCTTCAATGGGCTCAGTGTATCTACCCATCATCAAGATTGTTCTGTAGAAATAAAAAATTTAAGATATAATGGCTGGACAGACATGGCAAAAAATGTGTACAAACAAATATAACCACTTTCAACAAACCTTTGTATGTTCTTGACATACAAATCTTCCTTCTTTCCAGGCACAAAGTTAGGTCCCATAATTCTGGCCTTCATCCCAGTCACAACAACGCCTGAGAAGACACGACCAAAAGCAAAGAAGCGACCTTTGTCCGAAGTTGGCACCATCTTGGAGACATACATCATAAGAGGCCCCTTGGGATCGCAGTTCTTGATGGCTAAAAACATTTATAAAATTTTCTCAGACAGTGAAAAACCAGAAAAAACAGATTAAAATGATAATGTGTACACATGCACCAACCAATAGCAGCTTCGTCGTCATGAGGTCCTTCATAAAGCAGTTCCATTCTGTACTTTTGGGCTGTTACTGGAGATGGCAGATGAATGGTGATCATCTGAAGTAAAGCATCCCCTGCTGGCAGCCATTTTCTCATCACAACCTAAACAAATTTTTTAAACATTTAAAACATAAGCACAGAAAACAAATAAAAAACATAATAAAAAATAATGTTGATGGATTTTAACTTTCATAAGTTGTTTCTCCTGATTTTCTTTTTCTTCTGTTGTCAACTTAATTCCAAGTTTTTCACAGAGAGCAAGAGCATCTTCCTTTGGTTTCTTCATGCAAAATTCAAAAACTTTGTAGATAGGATCGAGGATGTATTGAGTGAACCCTCTGACATACCCTTCTTTGCATTCTTTATCCCACTTCTTTTCTTTTGGATTATAAAACTGATCCCCCCAAAGACGTTTCATAAGTTTGTGGGCTTCAATCTTGAACTTTTCAGAATAAATCTCAGCAAACTGTTTCAGAGTGAAAGCCCATCCATGCAAACCTGAACCAAACCCAACTGTTCCTTTAGCGGGATCGACCATGACTTCTCCCATAGGTCCACCGTCCTCACCATATGTGGCAATGATAACATTGACATTCTCAACAGTTCTCTGGAAAGTTTGGTAAAGTTCCTCTGGGGCCAACTGCAATGTTAGAAGAGCCAGGTCCATTTTGTTCATAAACAACACAGGCTTTATTCTTTCGGCAATGGCCTGTCTTAGCACAGTTTCAGTCTGTACACAGACACCTTTAAAATTTTTTTATACTCTTCAGACTGATCATATCAAAAAATTTATTAACTAAAATATAACATCAAAGCAAACATTTTTTTTAACTAGATATAACCAAATAATTTCATAAAATATAAATTTATTAGAAATCATCAAAAATATTCTGATGTAAAAAAAACAGTAAAATTATCTTACCTGACACACAATCAACCACAACTAAAGCTCCATCAGTTACTCGAAGAGCAGCAGTTACTTCAGAAGAGAAATCCACGTGTCCAGGTGAATCAATCAAATTGATCAAGAAAGAGTTTATTCCTTCCTCACGGGGTTGAGTAATATGCTGCAAATCTTTTTCAGGCAATGAGTAGTAAAGAGAAATAGCCCTGGAGTACAAAATAAAAGTTAATGAAACATTTAATTTCAATAATTATGAGATATTATCAAAATAGCACACTCACGTTGATTTGATCGTAATACAACGTTCTTGTTCATCCTTTCTTGTATCTGTAAATCTCATTTCTCCTGCTTTGGCACCAGCAATAATACCAGCCTTACTGACAAGTGAGTCAGTGAGCGTTGACTTTCCGTGATCCACGTGAGCAATTACGGACATGTTCCTGATGTTTTTCTTTTTGTCCATGATCTCACGGATCTCGTCGATTGTAAAATTAACCTAAGAAAGAAAGAAAACGTGATCCATGAACAAAAACAAACTTGAAAGTCATGTTTGATAAATTTCTGAAGCCGCGAGCGTATGCGTCACACATTTCGGATTGATATTATAATTTTAATCAAGACAATCAACCGAAAACTTGAAAAAAATTTTAATTAAAAAACGTCAGTGAAAATTAAATTATGAAGGTGACGTCGACAACAAAAACCGCATTAAAGTGAATAAATAGAGCAAATTTGAAGCGAATTTCTAACATCGTAAACTGTGAATGAAGTTAATATAAAATATATATTAAAATAAAACAAATAACACTAACCATTTTGGATGATTTTAGATGGAATTACCACCAGTTCTATCAACGCCTAGTAAGTTGCAATGGCTGAAGTGAAAAGGAATGAGTTAAATAATAATCGCCTCAAGTCGCAGCAAACAACATAAATGTCATAGCGCCTTATTTTATATAAATACTAAAATTGCGCAATATTTTAACAGCATTTGTAAAACAAGGCCATAAATTTTGCAACTATTCTTTAAACATGTTTAAAAATTTATAAAAATATACAATATTTATTTATTTATAGATTATATTATTTACATTAAAATATAATGTTAAAAAAATCCCTATTGCCTTATAAAATAAAATAACTAAAAAACAACCTGTTAAAAAATTAAATTATAGAATTCTATATATAAACTCGAGGTGAAATTTTTGAAAATACTTATAATAATAATAATAATATAATAATAATAAAATATCTTAAACAGATTTAGCACCTATTCACTTATAAAATTATTCTGTTTAAAGTGTAACTTAGATTAAATAAACAAAAATCAGTTTTTAGTTTCGCCTTGGTTGGAAATTATTGCGATTTCGACCACATCGGCATGACAGCGTTATCAATTAAATGAAATTGTTTACTAATATAATTATATACGTTTTACCTTCGAATTTTGGTTGCGGATATGTCAAATTTATTTAAATGTGAAACTTCTAAACTTCACAACTTGAACTTGTGTTTTTTATTTTAAATTTGATTTTGGTTTGACTGTTGAATATTTGTTTGTTGGCGTGATTGTTGTGGTTACTAAAAAATTAAAATTTCTAAATTGTACAGTTATGCAATTTTTTGGTATAAAATTATAAATCCACTCATGTAAGCACCGCACTATTTCATCACAAATTCACTAGCAAGGGGTGTTACATCTTTGAAGCACAAATAGTAGCATGATATTGTGATATTATATATTAAAATTAAATTATGAATTTTCAAAGGTGCTTCCGATGTTTACCATAGATTGTTTGATCATAGAGCTGCCATACAAGGAGAAATAAATTACTTCCTGGACATTGTTGAGGTAGTTAACTTTGCTTATTGATTCCCTTCATATTTTAATTAATTTTTTTGATTTTCATATGGAAAGGAAAAAGATGATGGCCTTGTAAGGATGAAGTCCATGCGAAATACACTCAACAATCTTGACAAAAATGTTTTTCCTTCATTAATGAATTCACTTGAGCTCCATATGAAATCTTTAAATGATTCAAGTAAAAGTGATTTTAATGTTAACAAGTATTTTACTTATTTTTAATTATTTGATATGGAATTATTTTTCATCAACCAGTCGTAGGTTTAACCAATGACGTTGATCATCTCATGACTGAAGTTGATAAAATAGATTATGAAAAGATTTCAAACATTGAAAATGTAAAGTCTGAAAGCAGAATGCTGTTATTTGAAAAAGAAATAGCTGTCAAAAAAGAAAATATTGATGAAGAATATAACAAAGAGTTGGAAAAATGTAAGAGTTACTATGACCAACAAGAAAAAATTCTGAAAATGTCAGCCTGAATATGTCAAACACTGTTAATTTTAATTAAAATGATATTAATAAGAATATCAAATGATCAAATGATAAAAAAAATTTTCAGTTGTAGTTTACAAATTATTTCATTTCATTTCGTTTGCTTTTGGAGTTTCTTCAAGTTCTAGCTTGGGTTTTTTTTTATCATTTGCTGTCTCAAGCCAAGCTTGCAAAATATTTCTCTTCACTGGTTGGTTGGCAGCTTTTTCGTCCTTTGGTGTTTTCATTTTGCTTGTACTCTTATTGGGTGTTCTGCTCTGTTTTTTTATGTTAAGACTTTCTTTCACGTTTTTGAGGGGTGTCATTTTTTTTGTTGGGGATTCCTCTTCAATTGCACTGCCAACAAAATCATATATGATTATTTTTGCAAAATCTGTGACTGCTTGATATACCATCAAAATTATAATGCATTATGAATTCTACATTGTGTCACTAAATATATAAATGTTATTTAAAGATCTGTAAAATCACTCAATCAATATATTATACAGAATATAAACTATAATAGCTAGTGAAATTTTATAGAAAATGTCAACACAAACTTTGGGTCAATGGCCAAGACACATTTGACCGAATTTTCTGTGGTTTTGTTGACACACATGGACACCCTGTGACAAAGTATTCTTCTAGTTGGTCTCAGCAAACTTGCAATCTGTTAAGATATTTTATCATTGAATAACTTGTAAGAAAATTTGAAATGGAGGTGGTTCAAATGCTTACCTGTTCAGCTGGGTACTTTTCATAATCCAACCATTGAATTATTTCATCTCCATCTAATATAGCCTGAATAATTAGTATAATCAATTTACATTGATTTCTTTATCATCATTATCAAATTGAACATGTGATACATGTATTTTATATTTTAAATAAAAACTAATAATACCTACTTACCGGCATTCGGTCATGTATAAACTGGTAATCTTCGTGAGCTGCAACGGTTATCACCATGTATGCATAAACTATCCCATTGGTCTGGAGATAAATTTGATAAAATAAAAACATTTTTGAGAATCATAATCAGAAAAACCTTGGAGCATTTATAAGAATCAAACAATCCAGCCATGGTTAATAATTTGACAGATCCCGCATCTGGAAACATATTCAAAATGTTAATTAAATGAAATTAATGAAAATTCATATTGTAAAAAACCTTTCATGTCAATCCTTTCTTTATTATGAACTGTGTGTTCTGAAATACTATCATAAATTTTCACTGGATCACTTGATTGTTCTTCTTTAATTGCAGACATTTTTTCATAATTTTCAGCAAAATAAAAATAGTAAGGCCGCTTGAGCTCCTTTTGCCATTCAAAGTATCTTTAAAGATTTAATATAAGTTTTTAACAAGTTTTTTCAACATCCTTTAAGATAATCTAGATTACCCATCAGCCAGGACGATGCATCTTTTGCCTTCTTTCATCAAGCGAAGGAATGTGGGTGTCGTCATGATGGTCTCTCCTCTACAGTTGGTCAAGCATTTTTTGGGATTCCATGACGGTGCCAACCCCCACTTCATTGGTTGGATGCAAATTGGATTTAAATCGTGAAAGTTCTTTAGTGTTTTCAAATGAGCATGGCTGGAAGAAATTATCACAGGACTGGGCAAAAAATTAATCTTGTTAATATAAGCCTTGAAATTTTAATAATCTCATTAACTTACCTTATGCTAGTAGGTGGCAAGTTGTATGATGGAGTGTATTGCAGTCCATTGTCGATCCACTCAATTAAATTTGATTTTTCATCATCTGATTTCGGTGATATCAATGTCTCAGTAAGCAGTTTTTGACATTGAAGTTGAATACAATCCTTGCCAAGACTGCTGCAATAATATTATAATATTGGACTTTCAATTGAGTTTTCATGATAGATTAAATATTTTTCAAATAAAAAAACTTTTACTTCTTAGTGTTTCATTGTAACAATTTAACTTTAGTTAGACCATTAGAACTCAAGAAAATAAAATTACAATTCACATACAATGCGTCTATTTGTATTTTTAACATTTTCCTTACTTAGATACGTAATTTTAAGTAACTGCTTTCAAGTATTTTTATTCTACTTCCAAACTTGGGTTTTATTTTATGTTTTCCTCTCCCATTTCGTTTTTCATCTGATCTGATCGATCATTATTGTCGCAGTTCATATTACACAATATTTGGGATCATAGACACAGCTTTTTTTTTAGATATGAATAAAAAAAACGGATAATGAAGAATGTTTTAAAATGGAAAATTAATGAAACAGTAAAAGTTTCCAAACCAGGCTGTTCTCCCGCACATTTTAGCGATCGTTTGATAAAAAATAACGTCAAACTTTCGGAATTTTTCTCTTTCGTTTATGCGCGATACACCTGGTACAATAGATAAATATTTAGTCTTTGTTCACATATTCGTTCATAACCTAGTATTCTAAGTATAAGTTCATGATTTGAATGTAACTATAATATACTTTAATTATCTATATGTATCCAGATCCATACGCATTATACACACACATGTATATATAAATATATATATATTCACAATCACATATGAAGCTGTGTAACTGTTTGGAGTATGAAAATTGTCACAATTATTGCCCCATGTCTAGTAGTTTTTACGTAATGCTTCGGGATTCTTAAACGGCGCAAAAATTTACGATATTTAAACCATATCATATATATATATATATATAGAATGATTTAATGAACACTGAAAACACGTACTAAAATTACTTTATAGTACTTAAAATATTAGCAACATCGATGTGACAGCCTGCAGCAGAAAGGCATCTTTCCACATTTAAACACTCTACAATACAGGTAAAAAAGTCTACCGCAGAAGAAAGATTTGTTTATTCATTTATTATTATTCTGGATCGCCGAGGCACCGGAAAATTACAGGAGGATCGGTGGCTGCTAAATGAAATTAGCGTGGTTTATATGATAGCTTCGTATATTTTGCAATAAAAATAACCAAACTGAAACAGCAAGATCTACGATTACATGAGGGGTCTAAAATATACTTATTTTAATAAAATTCTTACAAGGATCGGTATTATAATCCTAACGTTAATGGTTATAAAAAAAATTAACATTAATATGATCTTTTTACATTAGGGGTGGCCAAACTGCGCCCCGCCAATTCATTTTATCCGGCCCGCGAGGCCTTCCTACGTTATTTGACGAAAAAATAAAAAATGCCAAAAAAGATCGTCACCACAAGTGCTCCTCCCCGGTCAACATTTTAGAAATTTTCCCCCCGGTTAACGTTCGAAAAAGGCCTTTCAAAGGTATAATAGTTTTCAATGCGGCCCTCACAGCCAAAAGTTTGCCCACTCCCGTCCTACATCAAGTTCAATAATGATGTCCGAGCAAGAGCACTGTTAGACTGAGCGACAGGTTTTAAATTTATTCCAACAGCACGATTATTTTTGAAAAAATTTGAACACAGAATGTTTGCTGACAGCCCGGACTTAAAAAACACTTTGAATATCGATTAACAAACTTACAGCCACAACAAAGTGTTTCCTTAGTAGATAATCAAACCCATCGTATAATCTATAAGTACATATTTCTCTAGTGAAAGACATTTTCATGGACTCCTACTACAAATCTTGATTAAAAAAGTTACAACCATTAACAAATTAATTCTACTTTTCATTTAAAACCCTAACATTCGTTCTTTACTCACAACGATTATTTTCGAACCAAACTGCTTGGGCTTAACATAAACCGTTGAAAAGATTTGTAGGCCATCCTCTGTATGCGTAATAAAAAGATGATTCGGCAATCGTTATCACCTACCTCAACGATGGCGAGATTACGTAAAAGAACGCCCTGTCTCGACGCAGTTACGTTTGAATGCAAGAAACTCACGCCCACCATAGGTTTCGTTTGTGTGCAATATGCGCACAGCGTAGAAGCGCTAAAAACGACAAGAACCTGAAAGATGGCATCGCATGGTTCACATTTCATTCATACTCGAATAAAAATCAGCCATCTTAAACGGGCACTTGAACAACTTATTTGTCGTATAAAATATTATTTGTCATATAAAACAGTTAAATATGCATATCTAAAATGTAATGATTTAGTAGATCTTATTAAAACAATTAAATTGGAACCTAAATGTTTAATATAATTGGAAGAGAATTTTGAAAAGTTCAAGCTATTGGTAAATTTGTGCAACTGGAGTATTCCGGGAAGGGATGCAAAACCAGTTCCTATACCTTTGGAAAAAGTGAATGAATAACCACCGGCAACAACAAAACCAATTATTAAACGAGAGTCATTATTAATTAAATTTGTGACTTTAGGAAAACCATCTATACCTGCTACTTGTTCTTCATCTACTTTTAGTTTGATCTTTTTACTCTTCGAATTGGTAGTGGATTTCTTTATTTTTCGAAATTTTTTAACCTCTTCAGGTTCAATTTCTGTCTTTTGATCAATGGCTGCCAAATCTTCTTCAGTTGGAATATAAATAATTGTAAATTTTTCGGGTATTCCTTTTCCAATAACAACAAGACGTATTGGAACAAGTCCTTGCAAATATTTATCAAGATTTGCTGTTATATAATCAAGAGACACATGATTGCCTAATGCATAATCAACTCTTCTTTTCTTTATTCCATTCTTCATCACTTCAACATAAGATTTTGATGATCCATGAATTTTAACCCTTTTCAAAAGTTTGCATCCCGCCAGGGGGGTTTTATCATCAGCACTACTTTCTTCAAATTTAACCATTTTTTTAAAAAGTTTAGAATGAAGTTGTTTTAAAAATTTAACATCCCTAATAACAAAAAATCCGTCAAAACTGTTGGTTGATGTATTTATTTTATCATACCACTCTTTGCAAAGTTCGTTCCATGGAAAATGAAAAGGAGTTTGCACTTTGTACTTCTCATAATTACACCTCTTGGCAGGTGGCATTCTGTTATATTTTGATAGCAATTCTTTATAATAAGATAAATCTAATTCTTTGCCAGCATCTGAATCAGGATATAAATCAGGAAAAGTTAAATGACCATGTTCAAAATCTAGATGTTTCATTTCATTTCGACCAATGGATCTTGCACCCCGATATATCAAGCCTACCCAGAAGTAGATACCCCAACCAGCTGGTATGATGATATCCCATCCTTCACCTCTTCCCAAACAACTGTATATTCCATCAGAGCCTGAATTGTGGATCAATAAAATTGGAATGGCAGGATCATAATCTTTAAACTGCATTAATGATCTCTTTTTGTTCATTTCCTCTGACGACAATTTCATGGAATTGAGATTTTTAATATAATCATCTTTCCAAAGTAAACTGAAAGCTGTTGAACCATAGGAGACATCTGAAATTTCATCTTCCTCGTCTGTGCTCATTGAAGATTCTGAATTCAGGTTGTTTTTTGGCATGTTGAGTCGGGGATCACCTACCATAACAGCACAGATTGCATTGTCTGACGATATGATGGATGGAAGATTGCACAACTTTAACCAATATTCCTGCTGTTTAAGTAGTAGTCGTTTTTCTTCAAAAGAAAAAGTGCTGGCACAATTGTGATTTTCAAAGTCACATAATTTGAGAGCTGTGTTTATAACTTTTCTTGATTTTGGTCCAATCAGATGAAATCGACAAAAATCTGCTGTTCTAACTAAAATTTTTAAATAATCATTTGAATAGCAATCAAATTTATCAGAATCACAATTAATTTTCAACTCTTTAATAAAACTTTTTAGTAGCGAATCAAAAGCAGATGGATGAACCCAAAGTAACAAAGACCTATCGTAATGATCGTTAGTATAATCTTTCCACATATAATTTGCAATGCATATCAGTGAACGAGGATAATTATTCTTTTCATATAGCATGATGAAACCTGCTTTCCTAGCATCATAATTTGATAGTAGTGAACCACATTCTGGTTTGGTGAAAAGTTGCAAAGCATCTTTTATCTTGTCTTCTGAACCAATTATTTCTAAAACACTCATCCAAGATACATCTGAAATTAAGCATTCATTCTTTGAATCTCTCCAAGCAGCTCTATTTCCTCTGTCATTTCGGTTCAATGCTATTTTGCAATTCCAAAGTAACGCCATTTTAAATCTTTTAGCATGCCATATATGCGTTTCCAGCCACCTTTTTTTACTGCTTCTTCTTGTATATTCAGCAAACAAATTTTTTGGTCTTCGTCTGTGCTTTCTGGACGGTCTTTTTTTGGGTACTGATAGACCCGACTTGGCGGCCTCTCTCAGAAACTTCATTCTCAATGC